ATTGTTTATATATAATTGAGTTGATTCCCGTGGATAATTTATGCGACAAGCGTTCATGTTGGCTCAGTGTATATTAAATTAGTTTGCGATGAATAATAAAATACAGTTCGCTTGCGTTCGTTTTGTTTCGTATGATACAGGTCTAAAAGGAAAAAGGCCAACCTGTTAATGGTTAACGCTCGATACCACAGTCTAGAAACGTTTGAAGGTTGAATTATATTGACAAAACAGAATCAATGGTTTTGTAGAATAAAAATATTTATCTTTGGTCACAGTGAATAGTTTTAAGTCGAGTACTGTTTTCGGACCGTTGACTAGTATGTTTGGAAGCTATCCGCTCAAAAATATTATTTTGCTGGAGTTTGTGACAATAATAAAATGCTGAACGGAGAGCGCCCTTTTATTTGGAAGATAGAATAGATTCTACATGAGCCAATCAGGGTTAACTATAAGTGGGCGACTCTGGGCAAGTGTATTGTTTCTATTGTAGTAGAGTGACGCTCATTAGTAAACCTATCCACTTCATTATATATGGAGGAAGGCACTTAATTAGTATGTAGGAACGCATTTTTCTCTAGGTTATAACAATGGGTGACGTCATAGACTAGACCCATATGCCTATTAATTAAGGGAATCCACTTTTTGCGAGGGAACGCACACGGAACGCAAAGGGAACGCACCAACGAGGTTAATTTTGACCCTAGTAGACTACTGAAATGAGTAGCCGACAATAACAAAACAACCAAACAGTCGCTCCAGTCCAAAGACTCGCATAGTCTTAAGAAAAACAAGCTGGAGTTTATCATTGTTTTTATCTTGACTGAGTCACAATGCAATTCTCCACAGCTGGTGAAGCTTCAGTTTAAGCAGCAATTCATTCTTATAAATTCATCTCTGTAAATCGCTATCCGTGAGTGTTTAACATCCTGCAAACAATTAAAAAAAAGGAACGAGCTGGGCCCAGCGTGATACAACATTGCAGGAAAACATCACATTCTCGGACTAGAAAGAAAATCGCTTAGTTGTTCAGATCCTGAGGCACTCTGGACAAAAATAAAGAACCTAACAGCCTTATTTAGCGTCAAAAAGAGCTTTACGCTTCAACAGAGGTCAAAGAAACGCTCTTGCATCAGAGGGCAAATCATGAAGATCAGAAATTCAAAAGCCACAGAAAATCAATGAGCGTGTCATGACCTCTCAGTGTGAAACAAACGGCTAAAATCACATTTGCTCAGTCAAAACATAGAACCCTCTAGAGCATAATCTACTGGCCAGAAAAAAAAATGTATTGGAACAAGTAGCATTTTGGCATGAGGTAAAAGTGGTGTAAGTGTTAGTACTGCGAGCAAATCTTGTCCTGATGACCAGTGTAGAAATCCCTTTGACTTTCTCATTGCGTAATACACACGACATTCCCAGCCGCTCCAATTCCAAAAGACTGACGGAAACGGAATAAACAATATAGACTTCCAGTTAATTGACAGGCATCAATCTACTTCCCTATGCCGCACCAATCAGGAGCTCCGTTTACCAGCGTACGGAGTTTCCCAAAGGAACAATGATATCGGCCAGGCGTATTTTTTTTCTCCCCTCCCCCTCCCCCCTTTCCTTCTTTCGCCCTCGCACCTACCGTAAGGGTTACTATTTCTACTCTCCCCAATCTTGCACTGTCATAAAATCAAAGATGGCAACTACAACAATATTACGAACACGAACAAGGTTTCGCCCACCCAAAATACGCCTTCATTGCAGGCTACTATTATTACTGTGAAAAGCCAGTCTGCAGTCACACAGTTTGCACGTGAAGATGTTGGACTTTGTCACTTTCACAATTTGTACGTAAAGAAACGCAAATTGTTCACTAGAAAAGTTGCTCACTAACAGACGATTTTAAGAAATCACGTCGGCTTTACAACATCCGCAATTTGTTTATATTTCATGCAACGTTAAGATTGATAGCCTAACATTTATTTACTTCCCAGAAAATTATCAAACTGCCGAAATATATTTCTACCCATATGATGTTATTCCACTCAATAAAACAATATGTAATGATTTTGTGAACTAGCTTCTTTAAATTTATTTCGCTAAAGCTATTGTGTCTATTAAAGTTGCGCATCTTGACTATATAAAACACGTTTCATTAACTATAATGACTCTTGAGCAGCAAGCACAGACCAGTGACATATGAGATATTTTTCCAAAATAGCTCAATAATGGTACGTGTTTGTGTAGTTGACCATTATCACATAAGAGTAGAGATTCACCAGATGGCGCAGACTTATAAAAAGGTAAATGAAATACACTCAGTGGAAATTCGACGCTTAAAGACAGACGCCTGCATACACGTGAAAAGGATCCATCACCCTCCTTAACCTCTTAGGCTTCATTTTCACTCGGATGATTCCACCATCTGATCGCACGAGGGGATATTCGATTTACCTAACCCAAAACATTGGCATCATCTCCAATAACTCCTCACAANCATATGAGATATTTTTCCAAAATAGCTCAATAATGGTACGTGTTTGTGTAGTTGACCATTATCACATAAGAGTAGAGATTCACCAGATGGCGCAGACTTATAAAAAGGTAAATGAAATACACTCAGTGGAAATTCGACGCTTAAAGACAGACGCCTGCATACACGTGAAAAGGATCCATCACCCTCCTTAACCTCTTAGGCTTCATTTTCACTCGGATGATTCCACCATCTGATCGCACGAGGGGATATTCGATTTACCTAACCCAAAACATTGGCATCATCTCCAATAACTCCTCACAAGGCGAGCTATCCTATCGTGCATCAAGCTTACACGTAGCCTTCACAACGCGGAAAGTGACACTGACCATTCATTGAACGCCATAGAGTACTTACCTGTTCTGGAGGACCTGAATAGTGAACCTACTAAAGGGGAGCTGAAAGAGGTTCTGAGGCACCTGAACCTGGAAAAGCGCGCGGCCAGGATGGTAATCCTCTGCCTGCGCTAGAGGGATAGAAGGTACCACAATGATGAGAGACGCAAACATAGTCACTCTATACAAAAACAGGGGGGCCAGAAGAGACTGCAACAATTATCAAGGCATCTCACTCCTCAGCATCGCTATGAAGCTGTTTGTTCGAGTCGTTCTGAAGGGTCTCCAAGTGCTTGCATAAGGATTTTATCCTGAGACATCGAGTGGTTTCCTTACCAAACGATCAACACTACTAGGCCTAATAGCTTGTTAGGCCCAGCAATCAATTCGTTCAGTTTGGCGGAGGCTTCGCCGCAATGGCCACAAGCATT